AGCAGGGAAGGCAGCACAAGGGTTTCTCCTGGGGACAGCTGCGCAGGTCCCCACCGCGTCGGCCCCAACCACACTTCCTGCCATCACATTGTGGAGAGCCTCTCCCAGACAGTGACTTTGTGGCTGCCCTGCGGGGTCCTGCAGGAGGTGAAGCTCCTCCTGCACAAGATGCTGCCTATGGCTCCAGGAACTCCTGCTAGCTAGCTAAAGCTGGCTCCGAGATGGCTGCGGCCTAGGACCTCCTGCCCACCCCCTTCCCTTCTTCCTTCCTGGGGTCATGCCTGTGCGCAGGTGGGTGGCTCCTACTACTCTGCTCTTCCTGTACCTTCCTCAGTGGCATCCTCCACTCTTTTGCTGCACACTAATTCCACCTTGGCATCTGCCTCCTGACAGACCTCAACTCTCCTGAGTAGCACCAGAGTGGCTCTGAGAAAAAGGCAGAAAGGTGGCCTCAAGGCCCTGGCTCAGCCATTGCCTGGTGGGCGAGAAACTACCTTCAGAGAAGTGCTGGGCACGTTTAGGCCTGACACATGGGTGGCCCTCCTGTTCTGAGATGCAGGCTCGGTCACAGGTGTGCCGTGATGCAGACTGGGCCGCACCATGGAGCAGGGGCAGCAGGTGAAGGTTGGGTGTGCGGGCAGGCGGGAGGCCTCTTGGCCCAGCCTCCTCGGCCCAGCCTCCCCGAGCAGGGCTGGTGATGTCCCTGCATTGCACCCTCGAAGGCTCTCCCCTTAGGTCTAATGCCAAAGCAGTCTACTGGGGATGTGTGAGCCACACAGAGAGGAGGAAGATGTGCACGGAAGACTTGAGGAGAGTCACCTAGAAGGACTCAAGGGCCTTCTTCAAGGGGCCAGGAAACAAGGATTTCTGGCTCAAGGGTACTTTATTGGGGTGCAGGATTGAACTCCCTGGCAAAGACTGGGGATGGGGCACACCTGCCTCTGGGTGGTTCTGCGCAGTCTGGAGAAGATGATAGCTCAGGCCGAGTGAAGGAATGAGAAGCCACAGGATGGCCACCCTGGGATGAATGTATCACCCACAGCCAGGAGCTCAGCAGATGGTGGCCCCCGGAAAACCCATACCACAGCTCCCACAGCTGGCCCCTGAGGGTCAGCAGAAGCGCTCCCCCCCCCATGGCAGGAGGGATTAGCAGGGTAGACTGGCACAGAGCCAGGTCATTATCAGCTAAGGAATGTGGCAGCTAGAGGCCAAGGGCAGGAGGGGCACTGCAAAGGCCCTCCAAGCTGCAGGACCCTGGGGACCAGAGGGTGGTGTGTGGGCCTGGGACTCAGATCAGAGGTGGCTGGAGGGAGGTGTGTGGGGAACCTCCTGGTGCTCCTGCCCCACAGAGATGGTGAACACACACAGATGCACATCAGCTTGGGCCTGAGCAGGACAGCAGTGCTGGAACCTCAGCAGAGAAGGCCATATCACACCTCCAGCCACTGAGACCTACTGGGGGTGACAGGGGCTTAGATGCATGGAGGAGCAGGGGGAGCCATGTGTGCCAGATTCTCCTGAGTGCCTCCTCAAGGAGAGGATCTCACCACAAGACTGAACAGGGCAGGTGGGGTGCAGTCTAAAGCCTGGGGTGTATGTGTCCCCCACCCTCATCCCCACACCTCTCATGTGTTAACACAGCTCAAGTCTGTCTGTCTGTGGGTCAGAACTGCCCATCCACAACCTAATCTGGGTCCTGCCCACCTGCCTGGGGAACACGTTCTGAGGGCAAACAGCTTGGATGGGGCTGTGTGCTCAGGGCCTGGAGGACAATCAGGGTGGGCTCACAGGGTCTGTTGTAGGCTGCTTCTGATGACTATGTGTCTCACCATGCCAAAGTGAGGCACCCAGCCAGGCAGGAAAAGACAAAAGGTTTGTTTTATTCATTTAGCAAAAGAACCTGTCCCCAGGTTAAGAGAGGCACAGCATTGGAAGTGACTCCGCAGAGCCCTCAGGGACAGCTGACTGTGGGCACCCTGGGGACCATCAACAATGGGCATATCAGGGGGCACCAGGAAACCAGACCTAGGCTGCCAGGGTCCACTGCCAGGGCAGCCACACTCAACTCCTATGGAGCTCTTCCAGGGTACCCTGGGTACCCCACACCATCCTCATTGAGCTCTCTGGTAACCCTGCATCCACCTTCTATGTGTACAGGCCTCACCAGTGTGGGGATGCTCCTCTACCAACCAGACAGGGGTGACACAGAAGGAGCAGGATCCCCCAGACCAGGCTTCCCACAAACGGGAACCAGGTTCCCAGGGTCTCCTCAGGGCTGCTTCTGAAATGCAGCAGGCCTGCCTGGAAGAGGCCACGTGGAGGGGCTTGGGGATGCCTGCCCTGGGTCTGAAGCAAGGCTCCACCCAACAAGCTGGGACCTTGCCTTGGGTCTTGTTTGTGTTTTCTAATCTGTAAAAGACAGAGAAATATCCTTGTTGATTGGCTTTAGGAGTATAAATGGCTGAGTGCTGCTGAGGGGGTGTTTGGGCTGCAGGGGCTCCTGTTACCATTACATCCCACAGATGGCAAGCTCTAGACCTCATGAACAGAGGATGGAGCTGCCCGAGTTAGTGTAATGTGGGGCTGCTCCTCTTGGTCATTACTGTACGTCACCACGAGACAAAATCTACGTACACTACTGATATATTTATGGAGTTGCGCTAGGGCTGCCAGCTCCTCTCTGCTATGTGCATAATTACCCAGGAGGACAGCTTTCCCTGCTGTCACAGGTGCCCTGCCCCATCAAGGCTGAAATTTGGCTCCTGCCTTCCCCTTGCCAGCCAATGTCACCAGGGACTAGAGAAGGCATGAGGGGCACAGACATGGACCAAACTAGGCCATGAGCTCTGGAAGTCTTGACTACAAGAGGAAGCCCACAGGTCAGTGCTGACTGAGACGCAGGGCTAGACTAGAAGTAGGACCAGAGGGGGGTGGGGCAGTACCTGGGTGAGCAACAATCAATTGATCAGTGAGACTGGTTGGTGGTCATTGTCAGGGCATGGAGTAGCTTCTAGAAGGAGCACTTAGCTGAGTAGAAGCAGGATCACCCAGAGCATGCTAGAGAATATAAAGGAGGGAATGTTCTAGAAACAGGAAGTGGTGTGGATGCACAGGACACACCATGTGGAAGACTCAAGGTAAGGGCCTGCAAGGGACACTGGGCAGGGGAAGAGGCTGGTTGCCTGAGGGAGGTGGGTGAGGCCATGCCCCTGAGCTGTCCTGCTGGCGATGGATGAGTGCTGGGCCCTCTACCGGCCATGAGCTTTGGAGTGCGGAGTCCATGCTTATCAGCACTGCAGCCCCAGCACTTAACAGAAATGCTCTGAATGCTGGATCAGTGAGGGAGCAACTGGAGTTGACAGTTTTAGAAACTGACTCAGATTTCTGGTACTGACAAGATGGCCATTTCTGGTACTTGCATGGGCCTCTCTGCTAATACAACTAGAAAAGCAATGGTTGACGTGTACCAGAAGAGTCACTAGGTATGAGTCTGGGCATGAAGGAGTGACAGGGAACTTTCCAGAGGTCTGAAATGAAGAGGAAGGTAACATGAACACAGTTACAGGCCTGCAGCTAATGCCCGGAGCCTAGAGCTGAGGCCTCCACAGGACCCAGCAGGCACAGCTGCTCTGTGAACAGAGACTCAGGAATACCCTTCTCACTACCCAGAGGACGTCTGATGTGATGCAGAACCACACGATAAGTGGGCTTGAGGTTCGAATGCAAGACTCTGAAGCTAGGATATTAACGTCTAACCTAAATATAGAGCTAAAGAACAGGAATCACAATGAAGCCCTAGGGCACTAAAAAATAAAATTTGAAAATGATTTTTTTTTTTTAAGACAGGGTCTCGCTCTGTAGCCCAGGCTGGCCTTAAACTCATTATGTAACTTAAATTGGATTTGAGCTTGCAGCAAACCTCCTGCCTCAGCTTCCCAAGTGCTGAGATTACTGTTGTACACCACCATACACAGCCTCCAGCCCCATTCTAAAACCTTTTATTTTGAGACAGGGTATAACTGAGTTGCTAAATTGCCCCAGCTGGGCTTGAACTTGTCATCTAAATGCCCCAAACACTGGGATTCCTGGTGTGCACTACCTTGCCTGGCCTCGCTTTGGTATGGAAGCCAGACATGAGTTCACTGTCCTCAAGACCAGCTGGGCTCACTCTTGTCACTGCCTGGGGTTTCTGAGGGTAGTCACTGGGGACAACTGTCTTCCACTTATCACGTGATTGCATGGACGTTTGCACCTGAAGTGAGCCTGGCCTCAGTTTCCATAGATAAAACAAGGAAAGAGCTCCAGGCCGTGTGTGTGAGAGCTGGAAGGCACGAGAGAGTTGGCGCTCAGGGGAGCTGTGGCATCGTCATCATCAGCGAGCGAGGCCCTGCATCCCTGGCCACCGCTGTCACTGCCTCACGAACAACACCCAGCCAGGGTTGTAGGCATCTGAGAGGAGGGAGAGGGCCTTCAAGATGATGATGGGGCCAGCTTTCCACAGGGCCCCCATGTCAACCCTCTGTGAGTCCCCACAGAGCACCCTGTTGACCCCATGTCCCACGAATGGGGCTGGAGGCTGTGTATGGTGGTGCTGAATGGACAGAGGAGAGGGAACAGAGGATGACAGCAGAGCTTACGAGTGCTGCTGCTGTGAGCACAGACTGACTCCAGCTAGCATCATGTGGTCAGAGGCAGCACGAGCGGGCCATGCTCTGCAGGAAGCTGAGGTGGGGAGGAAGTGTGTGCTCAGGTAGACTTACAAGCAGGTGTAGTAGTACACGTGTGATCCAGCACTTGAAGCCAGCCTGAACTATACAGCGAGACCCAGTTTTTCAAAAAATACCTCTAGTACATCACAACTTTTCCTAGTTGAGTTCTTCAAATGCCATGTGCAGAGGCAAAAAATATACATTTTTGTGTCAGCTGTTTTGGGGAAGAATAGCAAAGAGTGTGAGTCCTTGCCACATGCCCTGGTCAGCAGGGCAGCATCATGCACTTACTTGTTGCTGTCGAGGTACTTGTAGATGTGGCAGCCTTGGGGAAGCCCGGTCTCGTGGTCCAGTGTGAAAGCCAGCTTGAGCTGAACGGACAGAGGAGAGGGAACAGGTGAGTTCCAACAGCAGTTTCCTTTGCTCTAACAGCAGTGACAAACAAAGGAATCAGGCAGTCAGTGTCCTCTAGTGGGCGTATGGAGCCAGGGGGGCCCTGTGCCAAGGGGGCCGCCACCAGGCACCTATTTGTTCATTCAGCACCCGCCAACATCTATGAAGTGCCTGCCTTATGCTGCAGGAGGGTCACCTCCCAGAGCTGTCCAGCAGAGGCCCTGGGCAGCAGTCACAGCATCAGGCTGAGAAACGTACAGAAATGTGACTTTACATTAAGTTTCTGAGGCCAGGAGCAGGGATGACACCTGGGATTCTAGCTACTTAGGAGGCTGAGGCAGGAGGATTGCAAGTCTGAGGTCAGCTTGGACAACTTAGTGAGACCCTGTCTCAAAGTAAAATGAAGGGGCAGAGTGGTTGCCTAGCATGCATGAGCCTTGGACTCAGGAGAGAGGGTGGGTGCAGGAGCCAGCGGGGGTGTCCTGGAGCTGGAAGATGCTGGGAGAAACCAGGACAGGAGGGAAGAGATTAAGGACAGCTCATGTGTTTGACCAGAACTGCTGGGAGGAAGACAGATTGGGGATGGACAGGGAACCCCCAGCTGATTCTGATTCTGCTCAGGACACCTGCCACACAGCCCTGGTTTCTCTCTGGCCTTCGTGGGGGGTGCTCAGTGAGGAGTCCAACAGAGCTCAGGGGGCTCAGTCCTGTTACAGCCTGGACAGGGGGCAGCGGTGGTAGCAGATTTAACCTTTCCAAAATGCCAGGCCATTGCTGTATTTGCAAATTTACCTGGCTTTTAAATCATCAGGGAAATTTTAACTAAAATTAACTGCACATTAGGATATATCATTATGATTTTTTTTCACCACAGGGCTGTTAACACAGCCAGTGATCTGCATCATTAGATACTGGACAATTTCTCTCTCCCTCAGAGGAAACAAGCTCAGGAATATTCTGTCCTCTTACTGACCCAGGCAAAAACTCAAACACAGAAACAAGCCTTTCTTTACTGTGGCAGAGCCAGGAACTTCAAGTCAAAGACGTGCTTTCCCTACAGAGCATGGCTCGGCTCTTCACAGTTCTTTCTTTCAGTTAAAAACAACAAAACACACTGTTAATTATAGACACACTTCTCTTTTGGTAGTGAGGTCAGCCTTTATTGGTTTTGTCTGCTGAAAAGCAAACATAGCTTAGAAATGTCCATATACTTTAGTTCAATGTTTTAAGTTATGAGTTTATGGCTTAGAAAATCAGAAACACCACTGAGTGAAGGCTGTCCTTTCCCTGATGACAAGTTTGGGGCTGGAAAGGTTCAGTAATTTGTTCATACCATGATTAGAACTAGAATTGTGACCCAAACCCACAGCATCTGTGTGCTCTCAGCACTGCAGAGCGTGGTGCCGGGGGGACGCCTCACAGACAGTGAGACCCTGCCTGGGCAGCGGTGGCGCTGGGGGGGAGCAGCCCCGCTCCCTGGGGACAGCTAGGACCACCGGTCTGTTACACTGCATGTGGAGATGACAGTCCCGAGACTGGTGCACAAAACCATAACCTGCAGGCACAAGTTGGGCCCCTGCAGTTGGAAATGAGATGGCGACTTGTTACAAAGGGATCAGACTATCCAAGGATGTAGAATAAAGAGAATCATGGGGAGCATCCCAAGAGGCCATCTGGAAGAGCAGGCAGGAGAGATGAGAATGGGGATACTGGGATACAGTAGGAAAGGGCAAGATGGGTGGAATGGACCAGCAGCCTCCATCGGTGGGCCTTGATCTAACGACCTAGACACTGGCAGGGACATCAGGTCATCCACATGCCAGGAAGACTTGAGAGAAGAGTAATGGGGCAAGAGAGCAGAGAGAACTATGGCAATAGAGGAAATCAGGGCGTGCAGGAGGAACAGGAAGGAAACAAAATTGAGAGGGGCTGCCTGGAACAAAACAGCATCTCGTGACAGGGAGTCATATATAGAGCTAATATTTACTGAGTGCATCTTCTGTCTAAGCACCTTACATCCTTCACGTGTGATCTTATTTAATCCTCAAGTCTAGGCTTGCATGGTCAGTTCCTATGTCTGTGCTTAGAGAAATTTAGTAAGTATCTGGCCCAGATTACTGTGGCCCCTGCTGGAAGCCATTGGGTGTGCTGCACTCCCGGGCATCATCTACGCTCCAGGGGAACAGCTCACAGGCATCTCCTCTTCTCCAATACCCTACTTTCAGGCAGCTGTTCCCCACTGACTGGTCCACTTTAGGGACTCCAGAGGGGAGCAGACTTCATCTCCAGTGAGGCCTATATTCCCTCAGTCCCTGATCAGAAATTCTAACCAATCCATGCCCAACCTTTGCTGGCCCTCAGAGTGGAAGGGGTCTAGTGATAGGTGACGAAGCTGTGGTGCACAGGATAGGAGGGCCAGTGCTGTGATTGCTGTCACCAGCCTGAGAGCAAGCAGAACTCCCAGAGGAAGCAAGAGCAAGAGACCTGCGGGAGAGGAGGGAAGCCTCTAGGGACCATGCTGGCCTTCCAGTCATTGTTCTTGAGGACAAGCATTGCCTCCACCCACTGGCGGCCCTCCCCTCCTAATCCATGTTCACCATGCAGCTGAGCTATTCTCTAAGATCACCTCCGGGGCACTGGCCTCTTTCAGTGCTGCGGCCAGCTTCCTGCAGTGGGAGATAGGACATGAGCTGGACACAGCCCAAGCAGGCTCTGGAGGCTGGCTGCCCGCAGGAACAGATGCTGACTAACAGAGGGGCCATGTGGACAGTGGCTACCAATCAAGTAGGTCTTGCAGAGACAGCAGTGGTCCCAGCCAGGAGCAGGGCACCCTTCATCTGCCGAAGGCTGGGCACTACACAGCTCTTCTTTACCTCTGTGCCCTAAACCCTTCCTGTTTTTTTGGGGGGGGCACCTTCTGTCTTCTGACCTCTGCAAAGTGGTTCTGATCATCCCCTTCCTGGTCTACTGGGGGATGAATCTCTCCCAAGAGCTCTCCAAGACTCTGGACAGGTAGCTTTGCCTGGAATCTAGTACTCAAGGCCCTTACCACTATTCCCAGAAGACATTCAACTCTGTCCCTGCCGTCTGTTTGTTTAATTTATTTTGAAGCAGGGTCTCAATATGCAGTCCAGGTTAGCCTCAGCCTCCTGAGTGCCGAGGTACAGATATGTGCCAACACACTGCCTTTTTTCTTCTTCTCTTTCCTTTATTTATTTATTTGTTGCAGTTATTTTTTTTTTTTTCAAGTCAGGGCCATGCTATGCCGCCCAGGCCAGCCTTGAACTTGTGAGGATGGACCACTACACCTGGCTTCTCCCTTTCATCTAGGTAACAGACCCTGTCTTCCATCTAGCCCCTCAGTTGCTATGTACAGCAGAGCAAGACGGGCTCAAACACTCCATCTTGCCTATAGCTCTGGAGTACACAGTTCTCCCCTCATGGTGGCTGCTGGTACTTCCTGCCCAGCCAGTCTGCCCAGGACAAGGCGGGCCTATGCCCTGCCATCTGTGCCAGGGAGCGGCCCTAATCAAGGCCTGTAGGGACCACCCATGGAGCAGCTCAGCTTGGAAAGGCAGCTGCAGGAATGGCAGTCTCTTTGGGACTTCATGAAGCCTTTCCCTTCCCAGAGGGTAAGGGCTCTCCCCTGCCCAGCCCTTTCCCTGGTCACATCATGACTGGCACTGGGTGCAGAGGGAGGGAGAAAAGACACCCAAGGCAATCACAAGTCTGCTCCTTTGGCCTCTGCCAGAGGGGCAGGAGGCCCAGAAAACAAGCCCAGAGGGTGGGGAGGCCTCCATTCCTACAGAAGCCCGGAGCACAGGACATCTGCCTGGGTGGAAAGTGAAGTACCGCCTACTTCTAGGGGCTTGGGCTGAAACCACATAGGACAAGGTTCTGGGCAGATGAGCAGGAGGTTTCTCCCTAACTCCTTCTGCCTCAGGACAGCTGGCCCCAGGGAACTGCACAGTTTTGCTAGGGCAGCTGGATGAGGATCTCTGGAGAGGAGATGCGATCTCCAGACTTTGGGGTGTAGGTCCCATATTCAGCTCCTTGTGATCTCTGGGTTGGGTGGCAAGGGAGACCATTAAGGCCTTGTCCCAGCAGGTGGCAACAGTGAGCAAGGAACACGAATGGCAACCCAGGACCCTTACGGCCTCCATAGGCCTCTCAGATCCACTCCCGGGGGAGGAGACTTCATTAAGACCACAAGGAAGTATGAACGTCCAGGCTGCGCAAAGGGCAGGGCAAGGGGCGGGTGTCCATGGAGTCACTCAGTGTAATCAGTGCAAGACAGGCTTTTTGAATCCCAGCCCAGTAAACCCAGTGGGTCAGACTGTATTCGTAAGAATAACCAATGAGGGGGATGGAAAGGGACAGGAAGGCGGGAGGAGGAGGGGAGCAACGGTGCATGCCAGGTATCCCTGGGCCAGGAAGCCAGGCTTTAATCACTCAGGTGCATAGCTGGTGCCACAGACCTGGTGAATGTTATGCAGTCCTAACCCCATCAACTAAGACATGTACCAGCTACTGGTGCTTTTGAGAACTCCTAGCCTGACTTTGGAAGGGAAAATCTCGGTTGGGAAGTTGAAGAATTCTCTGTGTTGTCTACAACAGCTGCAAGGTGACCTTTCTGGACAGCTGGGTTTTTCTCAGCCCAGGGGCACTTGCAGCCCCTGCAAGATGAAGCAGTTGGGCATCTCCACAGGCCGCTCTAGAACTAAGCAGAAGACCTGTGGGCCTGCTCAGGGCTGCTCTCACAGGGTGTATCTGAGAAGCTGCTGGTAAAGTCAAGTGTTAGTTCTTTGGCCAGAATTGCTCCAGTTCAACCCACTGCGGTTCTCCAGGCCTGCGAGCTTGCTTCAATCTGCTAGCTATTAGGACTCAGGTTCATGCGCAGGTCAAGGACCGGCCTGGGAAACCTCCAGTCTCCCAATAGCTGCCGCCTCCCCTTGCCGGTCAGCAAAGCCCACAGCAT